GCTGAAAAGTGCTTACTTAACACAGTTCATGAAAAATGCCCCAAAACTTAAAGGAAAGCCACAAGTTGTCTTGCAAGGTGGGACATCTGGGTACATGTGGCAGCAGAGCATAGATGGAACAGAGTTCTTGACCAGACAGCCCTGGTTCATATGCTGAGCCACCAACCTGTTGGGAGTTTATGGAGGAACCATTTGCCAGCTACCTCCCAGCTGGCTTTGGATCTGGATGGGCTGAACCAGATTTCCTGCAATGAGCAGAGTGAAGCCTGGCCTGGCTTGGGCCTCTTGACAGTGTTCAGTGCTTTCAGTCCCTCTGTTCTTAGCACTGGGCACACAGCCATAGGAATGAGCTTGTTGATTCATTTCTTCACTCAAAAGGTATCCACTGTGCCCCTAGGTTGTGCTGGACACTCCTGTTAGCACTGGGGACACCACAGAGGACAAGAAGAGAGGTTCCTAGTGTCATTGGAGCCTAGAGTCTAGGTTGAAGAGATGGTATATAAGTAGAAGATTGCAGGGAGTGGTGTGTACTATGAAGAAAATAAAAGACAAGACAGTGTGTCTGGGAGGAGGTCAGATGAGCAGTCACAGGAGGTGACATTTGAGTTGAGACCTTGATATCGAAACTTGTGAAACAGGGAGCTGTGAGAGAAAAGAAGTGAATAGCTTGTTTGCAGGACTAGTAGCAATCTCACCTTTGAGGGACACACTGGATCTACAGTATGTAAATCTTGTAGAGATGGTACAGTAATCTGTAATCAGTAATCACACAGCTTCTCCTATTATTAACATCTTACATTGAGGGGTATGTGTGTCACATTTAATGAATTAATCTTTTTTTTTAAGATAAAGTCTCAGTGTGTAATTTAAGCTGGCACTGTGTTCACTATTTAGCCCAGACTGGCTTCAAACTCATGGAAATCCTCCTGCCTCAGCCTTCCCGGTGCTGGAATCACAGGCGTGAGCCACCACGCCCGACTAATGAATTAATCTGGATATTAACACAGATGAATACAATGCTATGGTTTTTAACATCTCTCAAGTCTCTTCCCATTTGCTTTTCCAAGATCCCATCCAGCATACCCCGTTACATTTAGTTGTGTCTCCTTGGACTCTTCTTCCATGCCACAATTCTGCAGGTTCTTCTTGTTTTGGGTGACCATGCCCAGGAATAGCAGTCAGGTACTTTGTAGAATGTCCTTTCCTTGGAATTTGTCTGATGGATTTCTCATGATTAGAACAAGATTATGAAATTTTAGGGAAGAAGATCACAGAGGTAAAGTGCCTGGATATCTTTTCCATACTATCAAGGCTACAGACTACTGGAATGATGACTGATGTTGAGGTTAGCCTTGAACACCTGGCCTAAGGCCAGATTTCCCCACTGTAAAGCCCACCCTGCCATTCTATTCTGTACTTTAGCACGTCAGTATGCACAGCCACAATGAAGAAGTAGGGAATTTTGATGGGCATGGTGGCCTATGCTTGTAATCCCAGCACTCAAGAAGCTGAGACATGGGACGGGGGAGATGGCTCAGTAGGATAAGCGCTTGACTGGCAAACGCAAGGATCTGAGTTCAATTCCCGGTTCCGCCAAAAAAAAAAAAAAAAAGTAGGGAATTTTGTCTCAACTCTTTGAGAGAAGAGCATGTACATAAATTCTTACAATGTGTCTTGTCTGATTTGTATGTATTTTAACCAATATTTGTATGTTAGGATTTTTTTTTTTAATTTTTAGAAGCTCAAGAACCTATTAGTATAGCTAGGAACCTAGAAATGTTTTATTTATATTAACAAAACACAGGGCATTACCAAGACATTAAATTGAAGAATAGGAAAAAATCCAATAATTATTTTAATTTCTGAATATTGTCGATACACATTGGTGAAAGCTTTGGAAAACACCCAAAGCAGAAAGAACCTCTCTAGTCTCGCTTCACGTAGCTGATCATGATTCACATTCGTTACCTTGGATTTTTCTTCTGTGCATCCTTGTTACATAGAACATAGGGCGTAATTTTGCTTCTTTTCTCTCACTTTCTTGGGTTATTATCTCATCAAAACCATTTCCCTTCTACATGCTGCATAACTATCATTGTCAGTAGTGCTGAATGGCCTCTCTCATGGTTTATAGTGCGTGTCCCCTGCCTCCTTCCCGAGCTAGCCTGATCCCGGCATGTAACTTGTGTTTAGAAATTATTTGTTAAGTGAATGGCTTTACAACAAAGTAATCGTTCCCTTGTTTTCAGAGATGTATGTCATTTTCCATTTTCTTGAGTCTAAGTAGTTCTGAGACAAATAGATTCTTTCCTGGGACACTGTCCCAGTGTGTGATTACCAGGTCAACCAGGGCCCAAAACTTTTGAAGATAAATGCACGAAACCAGAAACCTTCCTCCTTTTTCCTCCGCTCCACTGGCAGTTGTGCCAAGGGTGGTAATTTACAATTGATCAAAGAGTTTGTGAGGTGCCCCCCCCACATCTTTTTTCCTCCCTCCCTTCTCCCTCCCCTTCTGCCAAAGGGGGGAAATTATCTGGGAAGGTGAAGATGTTCTCAGACAATCATATTAACATATTCCAACAATCGCAATTTGCAAAATAGTAATCACAACTCCCGGGATCTGGGAGGCATTAATCAAAGCTACAGGTTTAATTCCATTTTAAATATTGATGAAATATGCTTCGGCAGCCTCACCCTGGCATGACAGGGCCAAGGGAGCCGCAGAGGCGCAGGGGAGGTGGAGGGAGGGTGCGTGAGCAGCTGCCGGGAGGGAGGGAGGGAGGCATCTGTGATTCAAATTGGTGGCTGTGCAGCCAGGTAGAGTGAAAGGGGTAGTGAAGAGGGCTGTTAAGTCCATTGCTGTCAATTTCTAACGATCAGGGAGGGGCCCGAGGACTGGTTCAGCACAATGCGCCCAGTTTGTCTGGTTTCAGGGGTTACCGCTGAAGAGGCTGCAGCTGCACTGATTCGAATAGCCTGGAGACTTCAGAACTGTAATTATCAACACAGGCTGCTCCCAGTGTGGCAAAAGTGGGCTCCACCAGCGCTTAACTCCTTGTGTGCTGACACACCGCGCTGCGCTCCCCACCCCTGATGTGCCAGCCGCAGCCAGACTCTTAGGCAGCCGACCTGGGAGAAACTGAGGCTCAGTGACTGCACAAGGCAGTGCCCAAAGGCCAGAGCATGCTAGCCAGCCTCTTTCCTTAAACCATAGGTAAAGAAATAGGGGAAAGGAAGCAGTCTAGGGTGTGGGTGGGGGGAGGCAAAGGGGCTCTCAACACCATCACGTCTACCTTGGAGTGAGAAGCCAGGCTTCAGAATCTAATGATGGATTCATGACACTGCTCAGCCCCTCTGTGAAATGAAGAATCTGTCTTCCCTTCCCTGCCGGACATCCCAGAAGTCCCGTGAGGTGCTATGCCTGTCAAGCCACCCACAAGGCTGTCCTTAGGTGTCCATCTCTCTGACTCAGGCCTGGGGCTTGTCACCAAAGAGGTGTAGGTGTCCTTGGACAGGCGAGGACACACAGGGGTGTCCCTGGGCTGGGAGATCTGATTGTGAGCACAAGCTGTCACTAGCCCTCTGCATTTCACCTTCCAGGAAGTCCTCTTGTTCCTTAGCTTCTGCCATTTGTCACCCAAAGAGGATGGAACATCTCATCCTCTCTTTTAAGCAGAAAGTGCTGGGCTAAGGAAGGAGAGAAGGTGCCATCTCCTGCCACCTACAGTGACAGGAGAATGGCCCACAGTTCAGATAACTTGGAGGAACAGACAGCTGAGGAGGAGAGGCAGGCAGCCACTGTAGTACAGAAGAGCACAGGCTTAGCTAGGAGCATCAGTGAAGGAATCTGCAGGTTCTAGGACTCTACTCCTGCGATATAAGCCCATCGCAATTCTCCCGTGTCCGCGAAGTGATATGCCTAAGGAAGTTCATCCCAGCGCTGTTCCTGGGAGCAGGGAGCTGACGTCAACCTCCATCTCCACCACTGGGAAGTGGGAGGACAAAATGTGAGGGGGAGCCATTCAGGGAAATCAAGGAGGCAGCATCCTGAAAACATACCTTCAAGCGAAGAAAGAAAGGCACAAAGAAATATGCAGCACCATCCCGTTTTTGTAAATAAACACATCCGCACACAAACAATAGCACATGTTTTATAGAGCTACATGCATTGTAGGAGTATGTGTCCCACCATTAGAGTGAGTCCCTATTGTGATAAAGGAGGAGGGGCTGAGTGTGGGTTTGAGGAAAAGTGGAGGGGGATAAAAATGTAGTAATTCACAAATGCTCTTGCACAGTGTGGTGATGGCGGCATGCTATGGACTGACATTCAATTCTGTATTTGAGGTTTTGAAAAGCAACACAGGCTTTGTAGTTAGACAACCTTGGGTTCAAATCCGGGGCTCTCTCCCACATACTAACCCTGAGGCTGGTAGGAGATTTACTTGTCAGGAAGCCACAGGACTAAGCAAAAGAAGAGGCTGCGTTCAGGGCTTCAGGGAAGACCCAGAGCTGCAGCCACTCCTCCTCTGCATTCCCTAGGAAGGTACCTGAGTCAGCAGGGTGTCAGTCCTCTATGGAAACCACAGGTTCTTTGAAGGGTCATGAACAGAGATCCCAGAAAAGAAAGTAACATCTGAGACTCTTGTCCCCTGGCACCATCAACCAGGCCTGTCTGTCCCCATGGGACTGCGGGTGCCATTTGTGGTGTATTGGGCCAGATGAATGCCTGAGTGTGAGGCCGCAGCTTTCTGACAGCCCTGTGGGATTAGACCACCTGGCCTCCATCAGAATCCATGAACCCTTTTGTGCTCAGCTTCCCTGAGATCAGGTGCTCTGCTGAGGGATTCAACTGGAATGGAAGATCTTCACTAGATGGGTCTCCAGCAGACCATGAGCCTGTGCTGGAGCCCACTCCAGCCTCAGGACCACACTGGGGGCTTCCTCAGGCAGAGAGGTCCCAGCAAACACCTGCATGACCAGTTCTTTCTTCTTTCCTACAGATGACGAAGAGCATGAGTGGATCATCCAGACATGTCGGAAAGGTTAGGACGAGATTGTGGATCCTGGGCCCAAGCTGTGAGCCTCTCAGCCACCTCCACCAGAGGTTTCCATCAGCCCTGTCTTGGTGCTAGTTCTAGACTCTCAGTTTTGGCAGAAAAATAAAGCTTTCATGGACCCTTCTTGTGTTTGCCTTAAAAGACTGTTTCTCAGAAGGCTCCCTCTTTGTACCTGCATCAGAATCACCTAGGTAGGGGCCAGGGAGCTGGCTCAGTAGAATAAGAACTTGCCTGGCAAGTGCAAGGGCCTGAGTTCAATCCCCAGTACCACCAAAGAAAACAAAAGAAAAGGAGAGAAAAGAAAAGAATCACCTAGGTAAAATCATGCCTAGCTGTTCCCAGGTACCAGGCTCACCCAGCCCATCAGAATCTCTGAGAATGGGAATTTGCATTCCCAGCCACTTTTTATGCCTATGAAAGTCTCAAGAACCATTGTCTTAGGCCTTTGTAACTGAGTGAGCACAGGCAGGGCACACTGACACAGGCAGTGTACATTCCCTCTGCTCCTCACAATAGCCTGCAAGGGAGCACTGGGCACCACAACATCCTCAAGTGGGGAATCAGGCTCAGCGGGACAGTGACTCCCTTGGTCTCAGGATAGTAGGCCTGAGCACTGTGCCCACCTTATAGCTACTGCTTTCCCATTACTCCAAGAATGACACCTAAGGATGGCCTTTTCCTCTCTACAGCTTCACCATTTCAACTGTTTACCATAGGAACAGGATCAGTGTGGTGTCACACAAATAATGTGGCTTTGGTGGCATCCACATCTGCAGAGCTGAATTTAACCACAGGTACCAATATAAGCTTCAGGGCTGGGGAAGCCTCCATATGCCCTCTATACCGGGCGCTTGGGCTTGAACAAATGACATTACTGATAAAAGATCAGACAACTACCAGAGAGATGTACGCTATTTGGCTGATGATGTAGTGGCCCTGGAGCTGACAAAGCCACTATACAAGCCAGGGCTGTGCAGAAAAGCTGGGTCCTGTCTCCTTTCCCTGGTTCCCTTACCCTCCCCTTATCAAATTCTTCCCTATCTTCCAAACAGGCCCTTGTGCACCTCCCTCCTCAACCATCCAACCATCCACTCCCTTTTGTTCCTAGTTTGTGGATTTCTCATTTGACAATGTCCAGCTCAAAGCTTCACTTTTCCCTCACAGCATGCTGAAGGACACCTGTTCACAGCACTGGTCAGACTGAGGACTCTTCTGACCGGGTGGTGCTTGGACCTTTCACTAAGTCTTAAGTCACAGGGGCGATGCAGTACTTAGAGAAGAAATCCGTCATTGCGCCTTTGCAATGTACAGTTCCCCAACAGTGAATGGTACCTACTTTCCAGAGTTGCACTGCCCAACAACCCAGATATTCTAAGAGCCAGACACCTAACTGCTCAACCAGAGAACAGGCAAGAAATGGAATCTCATCATGTTCTGGATTTAAGTGCCAGCACTTCTACTTGCATTAACTTTATTTATTACACAAATAAGACATTTACAAAGCACAACATGAAAGGTATGTAACAAAACAGACATTGGTTTTACAAAAAAGTGCTTACAATTTTTTTCCATGTGTGTGTTTTCCCCTTTTGTTTTGTATTTAAATAAATAGTTTCGACGGTCTGTATGTTCCCAGGCTGTTCTTAACAAGGTAGTGAAGACGTTTGACTGCAACATGCTATGGCCATGTGATCCACTCAAGGAATAGACCTTGGGAGGAGGCTCAAGGCAGAGTGGGTCCTAAGTGAGCCTGGGCAGAGCTCAACTGGCCACTTACCACATGGTTGTGATTAGGGTTTTGATCATTAGGAGCAAAATTCAAAGGAAAGATTTGAGTCTCTGGGTGCCAGGGATCAAGCCCAGGTAGCTCCTGTTGAGTCAATGCCCATCACAGAGTTGGGCATAAGTTTTCCACTGGATGAGTTCTGAACTGTGTGTCACACTCATCACATTGAGAGTGTTGTTTTCTTTGTCCTTAGTCAGCTGTAACATCTTTGGAAGGGAGAAGATTCAGGTTCCCTTCTTGGGCCACACTCAAGCCTAACTCTCCTCCAGGTCTCAGAGAAACTGGTGTTCAGGTTCTCATTTAAGTGCCTACTTCAAGCATGTGAATTCTGAAAGCTCATCCAGAGTCAGTGAGATTAAGAATGTTGCAATCAATTAATGATATCTGCCATGGGTTAAAATGGGGACAGCAACTGCATGTTTTCCTGTCCTATGGTCTCCTTCCAAATGTAGGAATAAAGACTTGATCTAAAACATGCTTACTAGCAGTTTCTAGTGGGAAATGCATCAGGTCTCCAAGTAGTTCTAGAATTAGAGGATAAGTTTGAAACAAATAGGCGTCCCCTGAAAAACAAATCATGGATGTGTGCTGTCCGAGCCCTTTGTTCAGAGTGGAAGAGTTGCAGCAGAATGGGATGAATGTGAACATAGCTATGTCTGGCCTCTGTTCTTAGGAGTGGGTAAGGTGGGGGCTGAGCAGAGCTGGTGGGGAAACCCAGTGTTACCAGCTAGAACCCTGGGCTTGGCACCCCCACCTGGGCAATGGGCAATGGGCACTTCTCTCTAGTGGCAAGTGGGCTGAAATTAACATTCTGGTTGCCATTAAACTGGGCTCTGTTCCCTGGCTCCCCATGAGTGTCCTCCCCTCAAGAGAAGACTTGGCCAGGCACCTCTGTCAGGAGTAAACACCAAGATTCCCCAGTTCTAGCCTTCTCAAACATTCAGAAGTGTCACCACATACCATTTCTGCCATGATTCCTGCATATATGGTAGATAATGAATTGGGAGGAAAAACTCCCCTCCACCGAGCATCCTCTTTCCTCGCCTTGGAATGGTTAGTGTTTCTCCCAGTCCAGGGTCCCCAATCCCTCCCTGGTCTGCCTGCTTTCTAGTTCAGGCAGGCCTTCATTTCTGCCCTATTGGGCCTCTTAGGGCTGGTCAGTGTCTCTTCTCTTTCTGAATTAACTTGACATAACCAGACAGATGGAAATGATAAAATTAGAACATAGCTTTCCCTTGGGGACATCCCACAAACACTGTAGAGTTTTCCAGACAAAAGCAACAGAGTGATTAACATTGGGGGTTGTTGACTATTCAGAATTCAGAGATGGTTCCAAGGAAGTAGTATATAAAGGCCAATACGAGGGGAAAGAAAACCTGTAAATTAGGAGGCTGTTGGCGTTGCAGGATTCCATTTGCCTTTTGCTATTGTGATCAGCTGAAGTTGACGATAACTCCTGTTTAAATGGGAAAAACAGGCTGTTGTTTTCACCCTCATTCCAAATTTCAGGGAGCTCTGCCTTCCAAGAGGAGGACTCTGTAGTGCTCCTGGGGGTTTCTGGTTCTCAGCAGGAGAGGGAAAGGCTAGGCTTGGGGGGCCAAGCTGGCGGCGGGCAGGATGGCGGGTGGGGGTGAATGCGGAGGCTGTGGATCCCTGGCTGTGACTCGGACACTGGATCTCAGCAGCTGAGGGGCAGCTGTGGGGTGCCCATGGACAGATGCACAAATGCCGGCAGCTTTAGTACTGAAAAAGGATGACCTGCAAGAGGAGGACATGGGAGGGGACTGAGCTGGGGGCCAGCCCCACCAGGCAGCCTCCAGGGGAATCTCAAAGGCATGGAGAACTGGAGAATGAGTTGGGCTCAGGGCCTAGGTTTGGATTTAAATCCTGGCTCTGCCAGTTTACTTGCTGTGAGAACCTGGGCAAATCATTTTCCTCTCTGAGACTGTTTCCTGAGTAAAATGGGGATGACAGGGAAGATTCAGCAAGCAACAACACCAGCAACAAAAAAGCCTGGGAAGTATACCCTACATCTTCCATGAATTATTTCACCAAAGCCACACCTTGACCCCATGAGGGAGCCCCAGCATGATCTCTGTTTCACTGGAAGGCACTGGGGATCAGAGCGGTAGCAATGAGAGAGTATGTGGTCACAAAGCTAGGAAGAGGTAGACCCAGCATCAGAACTGGCTGGGCTCCAGAGCGAGGTCCCTTTACTGTACCAACTTTACCTCTTCAAGAGCACCATGACAATACCACTGAGTGCTTCCTACCCAGCAGGCAGCAACCTACACACTCCATACGCACTTCATCCTCACGGAGCCAAGAGACAAGTGACGACTTTCTATTTCCCTCCTCCACTGAAGCACCTAGCTGACACCTCACTGCCACACACACACCAGCTCTCTGAAGTTCAGGTTAAGGATTCCTAGCGGGCTGGTCAGTGGGATGCGCCTTCCCAAGAAGACAAGAGATTTCAAGCAGTCCAGGGACATCTAGTGGGCACAACCATATGGTGGATATCTTCTAATCAGGAACATTCTTGCCTGGTAACATTCTTGCCTATCAGAGAGGGTGGGGAGGAAAGCTCCCTCATGAGGATGTTCTTCTCTTAGTACAGGTCCCGCACCCCACAGGTTCAGTAATCTCTGATCAACTGCAACCCAATACACTAGCACTTTTGTTGACTCTTTGAAAACAGAACCCACTCATATAACTGTCATTATACTATATTGCTGTAATTGCTCTATTTTGTTATTAATTATTGCTGCTAACCTCTTGCTGTGCCTAATTTGCAAAATAACTTTTATCATAGGGATGTATGTGTGGGAAAAAAAGGTAGTGTATTTAGGGCTCAGCATTACCCATGGTGCCTTAGAACAAATCCCCCACATATAGGGTGGGATTTCTGTAATCCGATAACAACCAACACCTATGGAGCACTTTCTGTGTACCAGGTAGTGTGTTAGACTCTTTTCATACATCACTGCATTTACTCTCCATAGCACTCCTAGGTGGTGGGAATTATCATTAACTCCATTTTGCAGAGGCAGAAACTGAAGCTCCAAGAAACTTCTGCTTCAGAATCTCTGAAGAAGGAGGTAGCGTCCTTGGCCTGCAGAACACACAGCTTTGGGCTCTCATTACAAGAGCTTGCTCACAAGGAAAAACCCTGGTCAGACCCTTCCCTCCATGGGCTCAGTCTTTCAACCTGATCAGTGATAGCTTGGTTTTAAAAACCTTCGAAGTGCTACAGTTGTGGGACCAGAATAAGTGATCAGGAAAGAATGTGGTTCTGGAAACTCACAGGCATGTGTGGCCAAACGATGATGCAGGAGAGACAGGAAGCTCCTCTGAGAATGTCCAGGGTATTGTTCTCCTGGCCAGGCCAGTGCTGGTCTGGATGAGTGGGTTCAGGGATCAGCCCTAGGGGGGAAACTGAGTCTTCTCACAACTGTGCTGGCTGAGGCCTGGATGGACTTGGGAGAAAGCCCATGCATTGCTGAGCTGACTGCTCAGTCCACACACCCTGTGACCCACCAGGCCCTACAGGTCTGACAGGATGTGAACCCAAAGATCCCTTACAGCTGGCAGAAGGCTTCATAGTGAGGGCAGTAGGTAACAGAGACAGATACACCCTTTCACGCAACGCTTCTGGATACAAAGCTGGGACCCAGCCCAACTAGAGTGAATTCTGGCTCAGCAGACAAACCCAGGGGCCAGAAACCTAGAGCCAAAGCTGCCAGAGCCTTGCCTGGCTCATTTTTCAGGCTGAACAAGACATAACCACAAGCTTAGCTGAGCAAGCAAGAGAAAGGGGCTCTTCTCCAAGTGCTGAGACCAGCCTCAGACACTTCCAAGACCCACCCACTTCCCTCAGTGGGCCAGAACTTTCATTACATAGCCCCTGTCAGCTCTCCCCACTTCCCTGGGCCTCGGCCACACTAAGGATCCTGTGGTCCCCTCAGACCCACTCCTCTGTGCTTCTGCACACTTACTCTTGACATGGAATGTCCTTCTCCCCAAGAGCTTGTCACTCCCCTTATGGGTTCGCCAAATCCATAATTGTCCCCCATTTCAACTGTATCACACTGGAGTGTAATTGCCCATGTTCTTCTTCTTTTGGCAAAGAGCATGCCAGCTTCCTTCCTCAGTCCCTGTCCCAGTCTAAGAGGACAAATTCTCTCCTACTAGCAAGGAGCAACAATTCCAAGGCAGACAGTCCTAGGATTACAGTCAGCTCTGCTTATGCTCGCTGTGACCCTGGACAAGCTACTGCTGTTCATGAGTCTCGGTTTCTACAAGTACAAAACACAGATCACCATAATCCTCCTCACAGTGAGGCTGTGAAGAAGGAGGTCAGAGAGAGCGAGAGAGCTCTAAAGTGCTACAAAAAGAAGTGATTACTAAACTGCAGACTTCAAAATCCAACAGATCCACCATATCCTGGGACAAATCATGTCATCTTTACTTGAGGAAGGCCACCTCCACAGCCACAAGGTATCAACTCGATGATGTGTACAAAGCACTTGTCTCAAACAGAGAAAGAGCTCAATAAACAGCAGCTCCTACTGGGAACATGACAGCCTCAGAGCGGACTTTTCTGGGGTGTTCTCACCTGCTCCCAGATTCTTGTGTTGAGGATTACAATTTACTTGTAAATATATCTATCCAACTAGGCTGTCTATAACTCCATGCTGTAGACCTTCCTCTGTGATGCCCATTACAGAGCCTAGCACATGCAAAACAGAAGGCAGAGCTAAAGGAAATATCCCAAAGGAGTGCTCTCCACTCCAGGCTCCCCTTTCCAATTCCATGGGCTGAGCCTGACACGCCCGGATCTACAGGGTGTTCAGGGTCTCACTACTAGATTGGACTCACAGTCATCTGCCTGTTTACAGCCTCCCAAGAGCTGGGATTACAGGCGTGCTCCACCACGCCCAATCTCAATCACCATCTCAGCATGCCCCAGGAGTGGGGCCAGCATGGCAGACCAGCATCGAACCCCTGGCCCCTGAGCCTGCTTGCAGGCACTTTAATCTGCTGAGCTATTTGGCCGGCCCAGGCTTAGGAATCTATGCTTTTCCAATCTTCTCACGTGATTGCAAGATATACCAAGACTGGAACCTACTGGACTGGAGGGTCCTTGAGGACCTCTTCATCTTTAAAGCACTGATCTTTTCTACCTAGACACCATACCACCTGTGGCTTCCTGCCTTGTATGGCGCATTCTCCTCCACTCTCAGGGTACCACCACAGTGATGCTTCTATAATACCTAGCATTCCCCTCCCATGCTGCCACAGAATAAAGTCCAAATCCTCCATCTGCCAACCCCAGGCACCTGCTTCTCACCATGTTCCCCCTTAAGCCTGTGTGCCAAGGACAATGAAGAGCTCACAGTGCCCTGAAAGTCACAATGGCTCCTGTTTTCCCTCATAAACTCTGATTGAGCTTCCAGGCCTGGGTTCCAAGGCTGCCTTCCTCCAGAAAGTCTTCCCAGCATCTCTTTTGCCCTCTCATCCCATCCCCATACCCCATGAACTTATTGAAGCTTTTTATCACACACACACACACCCACACACACCCACCCACACACACACACACACACACACACACACACACACTCACTCACTCACTCACTCACTCACTCACTCACTGTGTTCCCTTCCAGTCTGTGGCCCCCTCAAGAGCAGTGACCATGCTTTGCTCATCTCTGTGCTCCAGACTCTGAGTAAGTGAACAAATGCACAGGTTCTCACCCAGGCCCTGACCTTGAGCTACATACAGGGGCCTCTTAGAACAATGGCTTCCAAAGCCAACTGTGAAGGGTCTCAGAGTTGAGAAAGAAGTGAGGCTCCTACCTCTTTGTGGTTTCACCAAGCAGTTCTGCCTACTTTCATCTGCATTATGGACAAGATTAAATGCTCAGTTCTAGTGCCTTAAATATCAAAGCCCTGGGGCTAGGGAGATGGCTCAGTAGAATAAGCACTTGCCTGACAAATGCAAGGGCCTGAGTTCAATCCCTTGTTCCACACAATAAATAAATAGATAAATAAATAAAAACCCTCAATCCCCTGGACAATGTCTAGCATTCCTCTGGATGTTTAATCCTAATGCCTGAACAGCCAGAGATCCAGTTCTAAAGGGGAGGCCCTCTCCATTGACCAAGGTCACTTGCTGACCTCCGATCCTTTAGCCCTACCAGCTCTAGCTATTCATCTCCAACAGACAAAAGTGAAAAGGAGGAAGAAAAGCCAGAGAGATGGTAGGAGACAGAAGCCTTTCCTGGAACCTCAAAACTTAGGCAAAGTAAATTCTCCAGACTGAGGAAGACAAGGCCACACAGTCAGTGGGGAAAAGAGGCCTACAGGGGGTGGGGGTGTTAGGGAGTGACCCTGCACATGGAACATACTGGCAGCTGCTCAACTGACTGATTCAGGGGCACTGTGGGAGCCTAAGCAAGCTGGGCAGAGATGGTCTGCCCCAGAGGGACATGATACCCCCTCAGTAACTGGCAATGCTGCTGGAAACCCATCCCCAGCAGGGAAGCTCTGATCCCTTGGCCCAGCCTGGCTCCATTTACCTTCTCACCCCGGTTGGAGAGTGGCCCATCCATGTCGGCTTTGAGGTGGACGGGGGGTGCGGTGTAAGGCAGCCGGCAGTGCACCTGCCCACACTGTACCTGACCTGTGGAGGAAAGGATGCCTTGGAGCCCATTCCCCAAGCTCCGTGAAGGATCCTCCCCCTACCCTGCACTCTTGCAAGCTACAGCTCACTTGTTACTTACCACCTGGGCAACCCTGGGCAAGACCCATAGGTTGGCCATAGTACTATATGTGTAGGGCTCTAAAGAGGGTTGGGCTAACTGCCTAGCTGACTGATAAGCACTCTTATATGACTAGCTAGTGAATACCTCTTGCAAGCAAGCCTCTACCCCCTCTGTCAGATCCTCACCAAAGATGATTTACCAAGTACCTCCATGAGGACTTTGTCCTAATGACAACTGCAACTCAACACTACCAGCAACCCCTCTGCTCCTGGTCCTCCCTTTCACCTTTATTATTTTAACCCCAATTCTCTAACTTGCTATATACTTTTATTGTTTATTTGTGATTGATCAATTTCTACCAACTCCACGAAGGCAGGGATGTTTATCTGCTTTCTAGATTGCTGTAGATTTCCAGTACCTAGAATGAGACATGGCATCTAGCAGGAATTCTTTACCTCTATGTTGCATGAAGTTTCATACCTTATTCCAGTACCTAAAACTGATGGGAAAAATCTACTTTGATGTCTGATCCCAATCTCTCATGCTTCAGCCTATTTACTACTCTAGCAGAGAATTCTTTTGCTTGTCTCTTCTCCAGACTTCATTCTCTTTGGTCACAGAAAGAACTCTATGCAGAGTTACAACTAATATATAATTTAGGGCAAGTCATGGTGCCCTTTGAGCCAGTTTCCTTATCCATAGAATAAAACAATTGTATTAAATTAAAGATTTCTAACTCCCTGGGTGTTTAAGAAATCCATAAACAGCCTCAAATTATTCAAATACTTGTGTGTCTGTGCAATTTTCTGGGGCCCAGTTCCAATGCTTTCATCAGATTCTAAGCTCTAAGACTTCAAGAAACTCAGGATCGTATGACTTTAGTTAACTGAAAGTCAGTAGTCAATTTTCCTGGGGCCTGGTTCTAACACTTTCATCCTGCAGGAAATTAAAGCTTCCAGGATTTTAGTTAGCTATAAAACAAACTGCTAGGTTGACCTTCAGTCATGAGCAAGAGGTGGCAGGTCCCAGACCGCCCAAGCATCTTCCACCTCAAGATGGCTCCCATCTCGAGGGGAAGAGGAAAGGGTCCTCCAGCCCCTTTTTAGGCATCAAAGAGAGTTCCAGACTTGGTCAATGGGAATGTGTGGACAGAGTCCTAGCCATACTTCAATGGGGCCACCTAGATCCATTACCAATTCCACAGCAAGTATTAGCTGTAGACTAGAACCCTGGTCCTAGAGGGCTCCTGGTCCTCAAAATCACTAAAAATATTTAATGGGTTCTATGCAGGGCTGAACATGTCACTACTTAGAAATGAGAAGGGGAAAGTGTCCCTCCTGCCAGACTGATGGGTCTGAAATGCAACATATAAAGAGTCATGGTCCATCGTAGCCGTGCTGTAGACAGCACTATGCACTCCTAGCTCTGCCACCATGACAAGAGCAGTCAACACTTAGCTGACATGAAATGCTGAAGACTACATCGCCTATCTCGTTGGATGTTCATAACACTGCTTTGAAGTACGGACTTTTATTGTCCTCATTTTCTTACAGATGAGAGAACCGATAAAAGAACTTGCCTGAAGACACCCAGCTAGTAGATGGCAGGTGTGCTTGAAGCTGACACCAAAGCCAACATTTGATCAGTAAAAAGTATTGGCTCCCACTGACAGTGGGCCTGGTTTCCTCATCTATTCAAATAGGATAGTGATCTGTGATGTTCAGAGACACATACAATAGAGTATCCAGTAAACAACAATTCTCAGTCTGACCTCCCTTTTTTTGCCTTTTACTTGGAGCCAGAAAAGGGAATTATGTGTGTGTGACTTCACATTTTCTGTTTGGTTTTGTCACCCCCAGCTTTAAGGAAACAGATCCAAAAGGAAAGAAAGAAAGAAAGAAAGAAAGAAAGAAAGAAAGAAAGAAAGAAAGAAAGAAAGAAAGAAAGAAAGAAATCTGTGCATAGCACCTGCTCAGGAGCAGACTCGGACTCTTACTGTCTTCCTTCTCCAGGATCCTGTTCCTATTACTTCACCAGGATTGGCCCTCATCTCTCTGCTGGTGCTCACTGCCCAGCCACACCAGCCCTCCCACATTCAGGAGTTTATTGTCCACCCATCTCCTACTCTGGAATGTGAGTCACAGGGAGCACAGCAGCTGGTCTGTTGTGCTCACTGTTGAATCCCTGTGCTAAAAATACAAGAGGTGCTTGACATTCTGACAGGATGCCTGAATCCATCCTCATCCTTTGAGAGGCATTATTATCATCCCGGTTTACAGATGAGGAAATCGAGGTCGAGGAGGTGAGGTGATCTGTCCAAGGCCTCACAGCCCTGAGTGGGTCCCGCCACACCAGCCTGCTCCCCCAAATGCACCTGCAGCCAGGATGCTTTCTGGGCCCTCAGCTGCCCACACTGTTCCCTCCAGTCCACATGCCTCAGTAATTCCTACTGACTTTCCCCTCTCCGAGGCAGCCTCCTCAGCTGCATTCGACACTCCCGTGGGTATCTTTCCTGCAAAAACCATCCCAATAACTGCCACACACTGTGGTTATCATTCCATGCTGTCTTGCCCACCAGAACGCAGACTCCACACAGCAGGAACCTTGCTCATCTAAGGAAAGACCTAGTCCCTCGGCCCTGGCCCAGAGTGTGTACTGGAAAGACATTTTGGAAAGGTTAAATCGCTTGCTTCTAACAAGGTTGCCGCCCCGCTGAGGCAGAACGAGGAATTTACTCCTTCCCTGACCCGACTAGGTCCAAGTGACTTCAGGGGCCCCATCTTCAGCACAATGCTCCGCAAGGCCTCCCGGCATCTTGGCCTCGGCCCCTTACAAGCCCTCCTTAGCGTTCCTTTCCCGCAGGTCCCGCGCCCCCTGTCGCGGTCACTTACTCTCAATGTAGCCGTGCAGGGTGACCATGCGTGCCCGCTCGGGGCTGCTGAACGGGGAGTAGTGGATGTCGTCGGACAAGGCGGAGGGGAGGCGGGTCGGGGGCGCCCCCGAGGGCGGCACTGGGTGCTGCGGTGTGTGCTTTTTATGACGTGCCCGGCAGTTTTGAAACCACACCTGGAACAACAGCCTCGGCAACCTCAGCCTCGCGGAAAGGGGTCGGTTCTGCTACCGGGGGTCCCCAGGCGGGGCTGCCTCATCGCCTCCTGAGGAAGGGTGGCCGGGTGCACCCTGACCCTCGGCACCTCGGTGAGCTCCGGGGCTCCCCACCCACCCACCCGGGCCGCACCTGGATGACCCTCCGGCTGAGGCCCGTCATGTCCGCCAGCTTCTGCAGAGTCTGTGCGTCGGGGTTGTTGTCCTGCGCGAACTGAGCCTGCATAACCTGCGGGGCGCCGGAGGGCGATGAGGCAGGGGCTTGCGGAGGTCTCTGAGACCCCGGCCCAATCAGAGGCTCTGGACCCGAGGCCACGCCCTAAGCAGCTATAGCCCCGCCCCGCCGCGCGCGGGTCCAGGCCGAGGGGTGGGGCCAGAAGGCCGCTCGGCCCCGCCCCTCCGAGACCCCGCCCACGCCCCTAGGCTCTCGGCTGGCTGGGTACCTGCAACTGCTCGGCGGTAAAGGACGTCCGTGCGCGCTTGGCCGGCTTGGGCTGGCTGTCCTGTTCCGAGGGCACTGCCCCCTCCAGCGTGAGGCCGTTCCCTGGGGGCGACAGAAGCAGCTGACCACGCGTCCGCATCTCTTCTAGTAGCAGCCTGGAAAGGACGGGGGTGGGGGGAGCTTGTCCCTGGAAGGGTCAGGAGCGGAGTTGGCTGGGAGTGGGGATCCCAGGGTCGTAGTTCCTGAGCTCAGTCTTTGGGGAAAGGGCTTGTGTTTGGGGCGTCCATGCCACACTGTTCTTTACGTATCACAACCCTTAACAGAGGTGACATTATCTTCATTTTACATGAAGGGAAACTGAAGCTCAGAGAGAAGAACTCTCCTGCCTGAAAACTTCTGGCTAGGATCTGAAAGCTGGCTGACCCTAACGTCCCAAACTGGGCTCCCTCATGGTTAAACCGGGGGAAACCAAACTCTGGTGGAGGTAAGACGCAAGCGGGCTCCAGAACCCGGACTCCAATTTTATAAAAAAAATGAGTGGAAGAGAAATGGATGGCTATACACAAAGCTGTTGGCGGTGGTTTATCTCTGAGGAGTACAATCATACAGACCTTCTACTTTCAATATTTTCTATTGAAGTCTTCAAGACAAATAAATGTTGCTTAACTTCTCTGAAATTTAATTTTTAAATGATGTATATTTTAGATATTTCTTTCTATTCATGTTACTTTTACTATTGTAATTGTAAGCCACTAAATTCCCATTTTATTTTTAACGCCTCATTTTTTCCGAGTACGAAGTTCATACACGGGCCTCATTAAAAGTCTAGAAAATTTCAATAAACACAAAAAAGGTAGAAAATCACCAGCAATTCCACCACTTAGAGATAACCACTGCTATCATTTTAGTGTAATTTTTTAATTAGCACAAAAACTACATTGATGGAATAAACAAACACTCCAAAATACATAGAATTTTAAAAACCTGGAAAGATAAACACTCAAATGAGAGAAGGTAGCATTTGGAGTCATCTTGATTTTGTTTTCATTTTTGCTTAGCCACCTTCTCTAATTTTTCTTTGGTGAACGTGTATAGTGTGTGTGTGTGTGTGTGTGTGTAATGTTTAACAAACAAAACAGTAGCCCACACTGAGAGTTGATCAGTAAGGGAGATTCGAGGCCCCAAGCCCATGGCCTCTGCACCAGGAGAACCAGGTGTGCCAGACAAAGCATGCCTAAAGGTGGTCATCCTTGACCCAGGTGTGGAGGAGCCTAGGTTATTGAAGTTCACTTGCTCTCTCCACTTTGCCTTGATCCTGGCAGGAGAAGGCGATGGTCTTGGTTTAGTCACATCCAGGAACATTCTGGTGGTCCCCAATTAGTCCTTGGACCAGGGCCTAGAAATGGAGGCAGGGTGGTCCATAACCTCCCCCAGAGGAACTGGGTGGGAGTGAGGCAGAAATTGTACAATAGTAATAACCCATAGCAAAGTAAACAGGATTAATGTGGCTGTTCTTTAGATAGAAAAATGAAACTTCTGGAAACAGCCATATTTCAAAACAATTCTGGTTTTATGAAATCTGATTAAAGGGACCTGGAGCCTGGGGTGGGGAGTGGGGTACAGCATGGTATGGTGTACTATGGTATGGTAAAGAGCTATGGTAGTAAAGATCCTGGGCTTTAGAATCAGCCAGACCTACCAGCACACAAACTATGGCAAGCTACCTACTGCAGATAACATCTGCCTTTTTCCTTACCTATGAGATGGGGATACAATACCAATTTCCTAAGATTATTGTAAAGATTATCTAAAATAACCCATGTTATAGAGAAAATAACAGTGTCCACAGACACCATGTGGGATGGGTCCTTGCCTCTGCCCAAAGCCCAGCCTCCATTCCCTTCTCAGCTCTCATCCTGAGGTCTGTTCTCGGGCTTCTATGCCTTGGACAATAACAGTTATCAGAGCCAAAGGAAACTTAGGCATCAGATGATGGGACTGAGGCCTAGAGTGGAAAGGAAACTTCATATGTTAGCGTAGTATGCTGAAGCTGGGTCTCTAGTCTTAGGGACTAGCTTCTTTGCCTTTGACCCAATTTCCAAGGCCACTGGGCCAGGATGAAACTTCCACCCTCAAGTCTCTGTTTTTAGTTTTTGCCAGGATGGAAGTTGGGAGAGTAAATGGTACATTATCTCCAGGCCTGGCCCAGGCAGTGGGAAGGGATGAGCTCCCAGGCCAGTGAGCACTTTCCAAAGGTGGAGAAGGCTGACTCGTTAAGATTCCATCTCTTGGATCATGGAGTGCCTCCTAGCTTGACAACACGTCAGCTCCTCTATCTATGAGAGCATCACATTAGCCCCATTTTACAGCTAAGTTAACATAGTTGCAGGGATGGCAGTATCTTCCACTCCCATGCAAATGGCTCAGCCAGAGGGCAGGCTCTGCAGAGCAGAGTTCCACCTTCACATTGCCCCTAGGTGGTCTAAGGAACGCCCAAGTTTGTAAAGCAGTATAGGTTGTGTCTGGGTTGCTGGGTTTAGGTGAGAAAGGACAGAGATGCCCATCAGGGCTGGGTGGGTACCGTTCTCTGCGGCTCTCTTGAGGTTCTCAATCATGGTGTCATAGTGAATGCGACACAGCACCTTCTCCTCTACCAAGCCGAACTCTTCACCAGTGGACAGCTGGCGCTTACAGGAGAAGCAGGCAAAGCAGGCGAGGTGATAAGCGTTGCCACGTGCCCTTCGCACCCAGTCACTGGCGTAGATCTGTCGGCCGCACCGGGCACACTTAGTCCCAAATCGGCTGCAACACAAGGGAGCAGGGACAGGTTGGGGAGGCTCAGACTGGCCATCTCTTAGCTCTTACTCCCATCCGGTGGTGTGCCACACCTAGCTTTCTGGCCTCAGTGCAGTTGCTCTCTCATTAACCTTTTCTTGGATGAACTACCCTTCTACAGCCAAGTCCCACCCAGAAGGGGAGCTGGTGGGTGCTTCTGTTTTCTTCATGGTGCTTTTACGACTTTTCCAAATTTTCTATAATGGTCACTTACACTTATAATGACTGTGTTCATTAACACATCGTAGCTCTTAGGAAAACATAGTAATATTAATAGGCAAACATTTGAGCACCACATGCCCACCAAGATTCTCTGTATTTTACATTGATTATCCCAATTAGTGCTCATTTTATAGAGAAGAAAATAGGGGTCACTAAGTCACACAGCTCACAAGGATAAGAACCTCAGCCAGGCTGACTCCAGAGATGAATAAACTCTATCCCCAACTATATAAAAGCTTAGAGTTCCTTGGAAGAGAAATTGGTTTAATTCCTCTTAGTTCTCTCTTTCCTTGCCCTGAGCTGAGCTAGCTGACAACTAATAGTTGTTTAGTCTATGAAACCTATGAAGGCTTTGCAGTCTACAAAGAACCCATCTAGTCCTAGACTCTAGAGCCTATGACATTCTGACACTGAAGGCTGAAAAACACAAAAATAATAGTTCCAAATCAAATATTCCCTTTCCCCTTTATGCCTTGATTCCACTACTTGCCCTTCTCTCTCCCTGCTTTGTAGAGGGCCATTCCAGCATATCACCAGCCTGGGAGCCCCTCCAGCAAGCAGGAGGGAGTCAAGCCTTGTTCAACTGGTTGGCTGTCCCGACCCTCTCAGCCTGCATTTCCTCTGTTGTGTTCCCTAGATCAGGGATGATGCCATTGTGACTACTAAATCATATATTCGTCCCTCTTCAAAACTCCATATTCGTCCCTCTTCAAAACTCCACTCCTCAGGGGCCAAGGGTTCTGCTTCGGAAAAGGTCTCTGAGATTTATCTCCTCCTGTCCATCTTCACGGCCAGTCTCCCTCTTAGACCACACTCCCATCAGGCAGCCCCGTGTGCCTGCCTCTCCAGGTTCCAATCTCAACCTGCCGCCTCATCCTCTTCACTACTGTCACAAAATTTCCCACCATGCATGTGGGAATTCCGCGTACACCCTACCTACACCTCTTCAGCAGCTCTGCTCTCCCCTCAGGATCCCACGCAAGTCACTTGAGGCTTACAAGGCACAACTGCTCCTTTTCAGGCCCATCTCCTTCCCTGTCTTCTTCAAGATTGCCCCAACCCCATATCCAAGTCCAGTCTGTCCAAATGAAGGTCAGCCCAGGTCTGTATTGCCCCCTCTAAAGCACATTCCCACCTCCAGGCCTTATCCCGGACTAGTTCTTTCCAGAACATGTCCACCAGAGACCCGCCACCCTCTTAGCATTGATCACAGAGGTCTGACAATGGAGTCCTTGGTTCTCCCAGTGCTTTATCCCAAGCATCGCTGGGAGGAGACAGCAGACCAAGATTGGCCTCTCTGTCTCTAGGAATGATACCCTTCCACTCAGAAGAGCATTAGCAAAAGTCTGTGTGTGGCTGGAGGAATCAGCCTAGCAAACCCTCTCTAGTTACAGTCGACCTTACTGCCGGATTGCTGTGGCCTTGGTTAGCTCTGGTGACCGCTGGACAGCCATAGGGAAGCACAGGTGCTCTGTGGCCACTACCAACACTGTCCTCCAGATGGGTTTACTCAAGCCCCTGCTGAGCGGCTCCGACCTCTGAAACTGTTTCTTCAGAGAGAGCCCAGCACGTCAATGGGCTCTCTTCCTAATCCTGCAGTAAATAGGGTGAAGGACCAAGCCGCTTTGCCCAGCCTGGCCTCCCCAGCTTTTGGACCAAGCTCCTGGTTCTACTACCCAACTAGTGGCATCCGGATGAGGCACACTCTGGCTTCCCAGGGGAAGCTAGCTTTCTTTCCATTCTCTGTGCTTGGGGAGGACAGAGCCCTCACCCATTCGCAGAGCCATTCCTGCGGGAGGTGGTGGGGTCCTGGGCACAGTGCCTTCTTTGCACATCCTTAACTTTGTCAAGACAGTGTGAGGTAGCCACACTGAAATCGATTTTTCACACGTGGAACTGGCGGTTCAGACCCTGCAAATGACCACACAATTGCGGGGCCAGGGTTGAGGCTCTCACCCAGGTGAATACCAGACTAGAAGCTGCTGAGAGCAGCCAATCTTGGTTTGAGGTAACCTGGGACCGCAGGAGCAAGAACAAGAAGGGGGCCTGGTCTGACCTACTAGGTCAGACCCTATGGGAGGAGTGTGGGTTCTAAAAAGTCCCGCGCGCAGGGCCGGGCAGGTCGCAGGCGCTTCCAGAGGCGGGAAGCGCATCCTCAGGAAGCAGGGAGCGCAGGGAAGGCCCCAGCCTTCAGAGGTCAGGAGGGCAAAAACTGCCGCTCCTCCCGCTTGTGACCTCTACGCGCCGCGCCAGAATGTTCGGTTCTGAGGCTTGCCGTCGGCGGGTGGGATTCCTCGGCCTCCGCCAGAGCCTTCCCAGCGCACGCACCCTCGATCTTCCTGTGGTGCGAGTCCCTGGCGTCCGAGACCTAGCACTGCGCCCACACGTAAAACACTGCGCCCCAACGCCCAGCTCCGAAGCGGACACCGACAAAACACTCATCAGCAACTTTTTCATCCCAAAGGTCAGAAGCTGTCAGCACTGGGTTTTCTGGAATTTGCTGTGACTGGACCCAGTCAACGAAATAATCTCCGCACTGCATCCTCGGAGTGACGATAGGGGATGATGGGATGGGTTAGGGTCTTTCCTGCCACGTGGCCCCCACCCAGAAAAGGGGTCAAAGTCACGGATAAAAGGTCCGAGGAGGCTTACGGTTGATGGATGCTCTGACAAACCAACAAAGTCCTTCCCAGGCGGACTTCGAGGCTGGAGCCGCCCTAATCCGGAAGCAGCGAAATGGAAGGCGCAGACAACGAAACTTCCAGGGAAGGGGTATTCGGGAACTGTGAGGGGAGCGCCGAAAAGATTAGGGGACGTTCCTACGGCCGTCCCAGGCTTGGTTAGATTGGTCTAAATCTCCGATGCTTTTCCCTGGGTCACGGTGCACCGGAGGTTAAGACCTGAGGACTGAGGGGTGCTTTGGCTGCGGAGAAGTGTCCAACCGTGGCGGCGCATCCTAGCCGCTACGGAAAGGAGTAGCGTGGGCATCGCGCACCACCGAGCCCTCGCTCCTCAGAAGGGGAAGCACAGCGATCTGGATACTCCTGGTTGTGCAGCGTGAGCTGTGCGCCCTTGCCCAGCGCTGCTTGCTCTCCAGGCTTACTTCCCTTGGATACCTAGCAGATGCTCGGTAATTACTAGTCCAACAAATGAGCGCGCCGGAGTTTCACTATGATCCCTTCCCCCATTTTTTAAGCTACACCTTTTCTGCATAAGGAAACCAAAGCACAGAGTGGGAGCTCTAATGTTAGGAAGCTGTTGAGCCGAAGCGCTGAAACTCAAAGCTGGAGTTCGCTTGCTTGGGGCTCCAGATGCTCAGTAGGTGGATGGCCTTAGACAGATTCTCTCCCTGAACATGGAGGCTTAGAGGTGGAGCTTTTCCTGTTCCAGTGTCCCATCCCTTCTAGACAAGGCCTTAGGGGACGAAGCCAGCAAAACCAGAACCAGCAATTAAGAGGTTAAAGCGGCCAGCGCCTCGGAGGTCTCGGCCTGTGGCCCCTCCCCTTCAACTCCCCTCTCTTTTCCCCCAACATTTGTCCCCCAACAGCTGGAGGCTGCTGCCTCTCCCCACCGCGGTGGGGGGCCGCTAGCAGGCTCTCAATCTCCCCGGGGCCCTCGCTTTAGGGGAGGGGGTGGGGTTCTCCCTCAGGAGTTCAAGAACAGCTCCCGGGCTGGAGGTGGAAGGCTAGGGAAGGATGGGGACCTGCCCTAGGTCCAGTGGGCTAACAGGGAACAGCAACTTCTGCCGTGGAAACACCCTGCCCCTATATACAAGGAGGGGGTAGTTAACCCTTTATTCCTCAGTGTTGTTGTCAGAAGGGAAGACGGACCAAAGCTATTTGACCTTGGCAAAGTGGCTCCAGACTCCTGACTGAGCAGGGTGCTCCTCCAGTACTCCAAGGGCCACCCAGGAGTGCTATCCATGTGAAGCCCTAGGAGCCCGACTGGGACCAGCAGAGAGGCACCTTTGCCATTTCACAGGTCCCACAATGCACAAAGAGGTGGATGGCATGTCTTCCATGGAAAGGAGTGTGGGAATGTCCTTGGAGTTAGATGTCCATAGCCTCCACCACTTATTAGCTGTATGATCTCACCCTTTAGGCCTCAGTTTCCCCTCAGATTATGAGATAGCATATGCACAAGGTGAACCTGAGGATTAAATGAGACAAAGCAGTGAACAATCAGCACAGTTCCTGGCATATCGAACTCTATACATTCTGATGCTGAGTGGCCTCTCTCTTTCCCCATCCTGCCATACTTTCACACCAGTTGTGTGACCCTGATCATGTCTTCCTGCAGGACTCTCTCCAACTATATAAAAGGAACAATGCCCCAGAAAGCTGAGCTAGCCATGCCCTATTTGTGCAGGTAGGAGAACAGGGGGGAGCTAGGGAGAGAAGACTGTGGCTACTACTGCCAGGGAAATAGGAATGGTCCCCACGCACTGTTTCTCTCCCAAAGTTTCCTTCACTTTGTGAGGGAAAAAAGATCCCAACAGAGAAGGGAAGACATGTAGAACCCTATTATTTTTTCCTATTGGTATTCCCCCCCCACAGACACACACACACACACACACACACGTATTCTCATAGAGTAAAGTGAGGTAAGTGAGAAGTAGGTTGAACCCACTGGACTTAAAAGGTCCTGTTTGGACAATGAATTAGAGACACTCATTGCGGCACAGAGGTCCAGAAACCTGACCAAGGACACAGAGCCAGTGAAAATTCAATGCCTTTCTCTCTCTCTCTCTCTCTCTCTCTCTCTCTCTCTCTCTCTC